CAAGCAAAACCAGTTGGTGGTGGGTGGCCATTTAAAGAATCAAAAGATGGATATAACGCAATAATCGGTCCTTATTTATGGAGAGAATTCAGATCATATGAATTATCAATAGTGATGAGACAAAAAAATGACATTGATTTTGTTGATTGTTTGAATAGACTTGCAAAATCTGCCTTAACTGAAAGTGACATCAATTTACTTAAATCTCGCTATAATGTTAAAGATTCTTTCAAAAATGAATCAGTTTGTTTATATTATACTAATAATGAGGTAGCATTACATAATTCAAAAGCAGTCGAAGAAAAAGTTGGCGAATTAATTGATAATAAAGCTATTGATGATATAAAAGGATATAAAAATATAAGTGACAGACAAAAAATTATTGAAAAAATTGAAAAAATGACATATCAAGATACAAATGGGTTAATGAGTAATATAAATTTTAAAATTGGATTAAAATATATGATTACATGCAATGTTGATGTCTCTGATGGTTTATTTAATGGAGCTTATGGTACTTTAATGAGAATAGATAAAGATAAATATACTGCAAATATTAAAACAATATGGATACAATTTCCAAAAAATTCTGGATTTGAAATTCGCCGAAAGTACAAAGAATATATTAAACTAAATTTTATTCCAGAGACTTGGACACCGATTGTACCAATAAAGAAAGATTTTCAAATTGGTGGATTTCTTAATGTAAACGTAACTCGTACACAGTTTCCATTAGTGTGTTGTGAAGCTATGACAATACATAAAAGTCAGGGGTCAACATTTGAACGAGTTATTGTTAATTTAACTAAACATTTGCCTCGAGAATTAATTTATACTGCATGTTCTCGAGTAACATCAATTAATGGATTATACTTGGATGGAGATTTTAAATTAATTGAAAATTTGAAGCCAAAACAAAGTGATAGAGAAATCTTCAATGAAATACAAAGATTACAAACTGAAGCAAAACTTCAATTATTAATTAAACCTTTATCTCTATCAGTACAAAATGATTATTCAATTACTTACTTAAATGTTCAGTCATTTAGAAAAAATCATTTAGATTTACAAAGTGATGACAACATATTGGCATCTGATTTGCTAATTTTAGTAGAAACAAGAATAAAAAGTCAATACAATTTATTACCTAATATTGGTGAACTGTCAGCTATAAGCCATGTTTACTTAGAAAATTCTACAATTGCAAATGGAGGCGTTGCTATATATGCTAAGAAGTCTATTAATGCAGCATTTGTTTGCTCTGTCATGGATAGTAATGACAAACCCACTTGGCATTATGAAATCTCTTTTGTCAAATTTTATAACATTGCAGTTGTTGGTGTGTATTTATCATCTGGTCTTCCATTTGATACTCTCAAAAATATACTTAATAACATTTCTAATAAGACATCAAATTTTCAACATATTATAATATGTGGCGATTTCAATGTTGATTATTCTACTAAAAGCGGACAAACATTAGTTAATTTAACTAATAAAACATATAATTGGACATATTTAATATCAGATGATATAGTTACAACTAATTATAGAAATCAAATTGATTATATTTTTACAAGTAATAAAAATGATAAAATTTATCAGTATGACTTTTATGGAAGCTATCACATACCATTTTGGATTGATGTTTGCGATAGCGAATGTGTTACTGACGTTAGTTCTCAATCAAGTTACTCATCAAATAATGAAGAAAACGATCTTAATAATACATTAAAACCAATATCACAACAAAGTCATTTTGCTGCTACATTTAAAGACAACCGATTAGATGATATTAAAGAATCTTCAGTTGTACTAACTAAATTATCTCAAGAAACAATTGAAGATTATTTAAAAGTGAAAGATTCTAAAATAACTGCTTTAAGACTATCACAAGAAGATATAGAAAAGCACACGCAATTACAAGATCATCAATTACCAAATAATATTTGGCTTTCAAAGGCAAAAAATACTTATCTACATGAAGATCTTGTAACAAGTGATTTAGGATTACTTGATGGATCAGAAAACAGTGGATGGCTAAACGATTCTCTAATTACAAATGGAATGGCTGTCATTTTTAGCAATCAAGCAAATAATAATAACTTACTTAATTTTCAAACTTCTTATCGTTTTCAACAAAATTATCTATATTTAAAACCTAAGTATTATTTCACTAATGTTGGACAAGAATTACACCATATTGTTAACACTGGTAATCATTGGATTTACATCAATATTCAATATACATCATCAACAACAATTACATGTAATGTTTATGATTCGGTTAACGCATTATCTGTAAGCGAATTAATTGTACGCGTCGCAAGTGCACATATAAGACAACTCGACATAACACCTCAATTAAAATATCAATTTTGGCGAGTAACAAAACAGCCAAATTCTAATGATTGTGGTGTTTATGCTTTAATGAATATGGCATTAAATATTTCTGGTATTAATCCAAGTTCAATAAGACTAACTGAAAATAGTTTCAATTTGCGTCAAAGATTACAAAGATGGTATGAATCAGGACAAATTTCATTGCCAATTACACGAAATACCGAAGCCAAATCCAAATACATAACAATACCAACTCTACATTGTTTGTGTTCGAAAACATTTAATAATAATATGATTCGCTGTACACAATGTGGTGAAAGATTTCATCAAAATTGTCAGCAGGATAATAACACAACACAAAGCAATTTTGTTTGCACAAAATGTGTTGAACCAAATCAAGATATTTACGATGTATTGTAAACCATAAATCTATATATAACATTTATTATATCCTTATTTTAAATATACTTTTGTATTTAATATTTGATGTTTAAAATAAAATTAAAATTTTATATAAATGTGGTTTATTTCTTATAAATGACAATTAATTTGCGAACATAATATTTTATACCGTCAAGTTTTTTTTCTGATAATGCTTTCTAGCATTCTTAACTGGTTTAAAAATTGTAAATTAATTTTGTTATTTCATATATTAAAAACTGTATACAATTTTTTTTAATTAAGCAAAATCACAAGTTTTTCAAATTGGTTTCGGTTCGGTGTTTCGGTTTGGTTGTTGTGACACAATTTAGTTTTGGATGCCCTACCCATCATCAATAAAAAAGATACCGGTTTTGTCGATATTATATTTTGATGATAAGTCTATGTGTGTATTACATGTCTACTGATAACAAGTATATATTGTGCCACTCTTTAGTTGTACAGTAAATTTTAAGTCAACACTTTACGTATTATTTTTTTTTTTAATAGTATTTTGTAATATAGTACTGTAGTTGCCGTTTGATTAACATTATCAACAATATAGTGTATATATATATATTTAGAAATCAGTGTAATTAAAAAAATGCCGTTTTTTATAAAACTAGATCCTTTTAGTGGCGCAAACTTTATATTAAGTTCAACCGGCACTCTATATTATAAAGTCTATATATATATATATATATACATTGGCATCTCTTTTACCCCCTAAAGCATTGCCCATAATGTGTATTAAATAAATATAAATAACTTATTTTAAACTATATATACGACTAGTTGTAAATATTTGCAAAGCGATACATCATTATTACGAAAAAAAAAATATTCAAATCTTTAGTTATTTGTGTTATTGTCGACTAAATGCGATAATACCCAATGTTTTAGTAATTGCAATACATATACATTAAGTATATACGATATATAATAATGCGATAAATTTGAATGACCCTATTTATATCACAGTTATTGTATACACATACCCTACCTATCTACCTGTGCACTTTATCATTGAATAAAAAAACAACCTTGCACATTCCTGACATATTATTATTATTAATAATAATAACCATATTATATTACACATTATCGCAATTTAATGGCTAAAGAGATTATGAAAAAAATTCATTAAATTGTATCACCAAAAAATAACAATAACTTATAGTATATCATATACCTTATTATCAAATTATTAGTTTCTAATGACAAAATAGTTTAATAGATTTTTTAAAAATTATTTTTCTAAATGACTTTCAATATAATCCATAAACCATAGTTGTAACGGTGTATTGAAAATAAAATAGTGATTTACTAGAAAGTGATTTATCATAAAAATACAGTACATTTGACAATATTGAGTGCTATTTCAAACTTACATTATTAATAAAATAAGTTTATTAGTTGTGAGAACTTTAAAACACTTTTATATACAGTATATGTTTTATGTCAAAAAATAGCGATAATTTTTATTATCAAAAAAGCACTACTATTTAGCTATTAATTTGACAGATCAATAGATAATGTAATTGAAAATAATCATTAATTTATAGCTAAAATTGGTTTATAAAAAATGTATTTAAGTGTAGTGTAGGTGACTGTCAACAGGTTGTTCACTGTTGTTGTTGTGATGATGTGTTGGTCCCTGTGATGAGTGTTTAAAAAAAATTGTTTTAAAGAGAGAGAGAGAGAGAGAGAGAGAGAGAGAGAGAGAGAGAGAGAGAGAGTTTTATCCGACAAATAGTTATTATACACACAAACTATATGTAGAAATACATGTTATATAATATTATAATATAATAATCAGTTATGAGATTAACGTTTGTATGTGAATACTAGTATCCAATGTATGACTCAATGAGTGTGTGTGACTCTAGTAGTGCTGACATTATTTTTTAATGCAATTAATGTTTGGCTTCAAAAATCATAGCTAAACATACAGAGTGTATATTATAACATAAACCGTCAATAGTTGTACTATTGTTGTTGTGTATTGTATTTGCATTGTGTTTTTATAGTGTTTTTTACTGTATGTATTGTATCACAACTTTTTTATAATTTATAAGTGTATTGTATTCAAAACATTTTATTAATACTGTATTTGGTATACAAAAAAAAGTAATGAAACGTCAATTTAATGTATAGTTTTAATGTTTTAGTTCACTACTAAATAACATAATAAGTGTTTATTATATTTGAGTTTATTTTATACATTATATATGACTTATTAGGCGTTAGTTTAGCAAAGCGTTCAAACATTTGATTGTTTTTTAGTTACATTTAATTTTTCACTAATTTGTTTGTCTATTTTCACAGAGTTTTTACTCATTAATTGGTTGATTGAATATAATTAAAGTGCCTTTTTTAGTGGCCTTTGTGTGGATTAATCGGTGATTTTAATTATTAGAGAAATAAGTTTTGTGTTTGATTGTGATCGCCGACAACAAAGTGACCAAAAATGCCGAAAGCGGTGAACGTAAGGGTGACCACAATGGACGCAGAGTTGGAGTTTGCAATTCAACCCAACACTACTGGAAAACAACTGTTTGATCAGGTATTACATTGGATAATATGACCGGTGATGACCACTATTGACCACTTGTTGTTGTTGTTGACCATAGGTTGTGAAGACAATAGGTTTGCGTGAGATCTGGTTTTTTGGGTTACAATATGTGGACTCTAAGGGATACCCCACTTGGCTTAAGCTCAACAAAAAGGTATAACATTTAAGACATGGGTTCACACACTTGACTACTGTTTTTTAAATGATTGATTGCTTTACTATTTGACGATTAAGTGGATATCAGTACCAGTAATGATAAGTTATAGATATTATTAATATAAAGTAAAGTAATCAATGAATTATGCAAATATTGTAAATGATATACATATGAAATGATTGAGAGAGTCTAATAGATTTAACTTATTTTAATTATCATATTATTATATGACATAACATTTATAATTATATACCGGTTTATATTTATTGTTTAAAGTGATTGGAAATGTTGACTATTATATTGTTAATTGATTTTAAATAAATAATAGATAAATACAAATATATAAATAAAATATTCATTATATAATAATTTTTATAAATATTAATGAATAGGTTATGAGTCAAGACGTGAAAAAGGAAAATCCACTTCAATTCAAATTTCGATCAAAATTTTTTCCCGAAGACGTTGCCGAAGAGCTGATCCAAGACATAACTTTGAGACTATTTTATTTGCAAGTGAAGAACGGCATATTATCTGATGAGATCTATTGTCCGCCCGAAACGTCAGTATTGTTGGCCTCATATGCCGTTGAGGCTAAATATGGTGATTACAATCCCGACACTCATCAGAAGGATTGTCTACAAAATGATCGACTTTTACCGCAACGAGTGGCAGATCAGCATAAGTTGAGTCGCGAACAATGGGAGGAACGTATCACCAACTGGTGGGCCGAACACAAAGGTATGCCTCGAGAGGACGCTATGATGGAGTACTTGAAAATAGCACAAGACTTGGAGATGTATGGCGTAAACTATTTTGAGATAAAGAACAAAAAGGGAACAGATCTGTGGTTAGGAGTGGACGCTTTGGGTCTAAATATCTACGAAAAAGAGGATAAATTGACTCCGAAAATAGGATTCCCGTGGAGTGAGATTCGGAACATATCTTTTAATGATAAGAGATTTGTGATAAAACCGATCGACAAAAAGGCACCGGACTTTGTGTTTATCGCTCCACGACTTCGTATAAATAAACGTATTTTGGCGCTATGTATGGGTAATCATGAGCTGTATATGAGAAGACGTAAACCGGATACCATTGAAGTCCAACAAATGAAGGCTCAGGCAAGAGAAGAGAAGATTGCCAAACAACAGGAGAGAGAAAAATTAAAGAAAGAAATTGAATTAAGAGAACAGGCAGAGAGAAAACAACAGGAATATGCAGACAGACTGAAACAAATGCAAGAAGAGATGGAAAAGAGACAGAAGGAGCTATTGGATGCACAGGAAACCATTAGAAGATTAGAGGAACAGTTGAAACTATTGCAATTGGCTAAGGAAGAGATGGAAACTAAACAAAAAGAATTGGAAGTTTTGATGCTTAAACTGGAAGAGTCGAAGCAAATGGAAGCGGCAGAGAAGGAAAAGTTGGAGGAAGACATCAGACGCAAACAAGAAGAAGTTCAACGTATTCAAGAAGAAGTGGAACAGAAGGATGCGGAGACTCGACGTCTACAAGAAGAGGTAGAAGAGGCACGTCGTATACAAGAAGAAGCGGCCGCAGCATTGATTGCAGCGTCGACTACACCACAACATATCCATGTCTTGGAAAATGAACACGAAGAGAATGATGACGAACTAAGCAATGGAGAGATAGGTTAGTGTTATTGACATTATCTAACAGTTTTACTTAATTATACTTTAATATATTATCAACTAAATTATAACTCACCTGTTTATTCTGTATATATATATATACTGTAAGATACGGTGCAAACATTGCCCACATTTGATCCCATTATCTAAATCAAAGAACTTTCTACTTAACTGTATTCCCACTCGAGTTCTAGATTTTTATCTTTTATAAAATAATGTTTATTCGATGCAATACTTTTATCTATACCTTAATAGGCGTCGCTTTTAATGGTGACGGAGACGGTGACAGTGCTATAGATGTTCCGCGACCTGAAGAGGAACGGGAGACTGAAGTGTCAAAAAAGAAAGATCTTCAGGAACAGCTAAAAGTGAGTGATTGATAAATATTGAACTCATTTGTTAACTTTTATCAATATTGTTACAGCAATTACAACAAGACTTGGCACTGGCTAAGGATGACAGCAAAGTTACGAAAAATGATGTCTTACATCAAGAAAATGTTAAACAAGGAAGAGATAAATACAAGACATTACGCGAGATTAGGAAAGGAAACACTAAACGACGTGTCGATCAGTTCGAGAATATGTAAATTTGATGACATTTATGAAAATATTTGAAAATTTGAAACTATTTTGTTTTGCTTTTATTTTATCTCTTAAAACAAAATACATGACATGTGTGTCTAGAATTTCAACAAAAATTTAGTTTTTTAAAAATATTTACTGTAAAACTAAGCATATATTATAACATATTTTTTCTTAGAGATTGGTTTTTGTTTTTCTAAACCAAACAAAATATATTTTTCTATTTAGAAAATGCAATTTATTAATAAATTTATATTTAAAATAAGAATATTATTATTAATGATATGAGACTGAATTTTAATCAAAAAATATTTGATATACTTGTAAACAATTAGAATTTATATAACATCTTTGACAATATACTGGAAAAAATAATTATTTTCTATATAAAAGCCTCCATTTTTAAGTATAATAATAATGATTATTATACAGTATTTTATATAACTTATTTTGTAATGAAATACTTTTCATTTACTATTGATGATGATATCAGACTTTCCTTTTAATTATATTTATATACAATACAATTTAATTGTATATTTAATATTTATAATAATAAACTATACTTCTATTTTAGAAATAACAAACAAATTTTATTATAATTATTATTGTTATTACTCTATTTTAAAAAAATATTTATATATTTATTTTTACAATCCATTAATACAATTGTTAATTAAGGCTTTTCCTACTTTGTGTTTGTGTTGAAAAAAATACTGTAAAACGCCATTATATTATTTTGACAAGTTATATTTATTTATAAAAATAAACTTGTACGCTTATTAAATAAATGAATTTTTTTTTTGAAAAACATTGCTTTTGAATTGAATAAAAATTATAATATTAAAAACAACAACTTTTCAAATAAAAATATTTAGTGTTTTATAATTTGTCATTGAAATGAATTTTTTGGGTCACATTTGTTTTGCACAATTTATATAAAAATAATATTTCTATTTAAAAAAAAATGTTTACATAATATGGCTTTAAAATTAATAACAATTGTTTGTAAATATACTGTATAATACTCTGTATTTATTGAATTTTATTTATGAGTTTATGCTTTCAATTGGCTACGATCTTATGCTAATATACAATTGTATGCAGCAATTATGCTATCAATACATTAATGATTATCATATTATATTTAACAAACAATATTAATTATAAAAAATTACTTATGAATAATAACTAATGATTGTTTGTTTAAAATTATATTTTTTGTATATAAACTGAAAGTCATTTTTAAAAAACTATTTCCAATTTCGTGATATTTAAATTTAATTTCCAAACTGCTTATAATGACACTACAAATAAAAGTAAATATTATTTTAAAAATAAACTTTAATTTGAAATTATTCCAACATTATATATGCGATATTAAAGGAAAATGCTATATAATAGTACCGTAATTTTATATCGTTTATTACATTACAATACAATATTTGTATCATTTTTTTTTTTGATTAAGGAAATGAGTGAAATCCCATAAAAATGTTGTAATGGGATTTAAAGTAAAATTATTTAATAAAATACAGTATATTTAAAGCGTGACATTGAATGCCGTAATTTAATTCAATGCTATTTTATACACCGGTATATAATTATAAAAAACATGTATAATTTAACTATAGTTTATACATATTTTATTTTATGCTTATTATATATATAGGAATTTACACAAAATATAATTTTTCATTATATACAAGAAATTATATTATATTCTGTTAATATAAGCTCATTAAATAAGTGAATATCATTCAAATATAAGCTAAATATTTGTTATTAAATAATTTATTTTAAAAATATAATTATGCACATTCATTAAGTTAATATTAATTTCACAAATTGTATAATTAATGATTAATTTTTTAATTAAACTAGTTATTAAAATAAAAAGTTAATAATTTAATAAATTTTATTGTTATTATTATTATAAAAACATTTACCGTAAACTGAATTGCATTTTGTTTATTATCTATTACTAAACTAATAAAACAATAAAGATAAACTAGTAATAAAAATAATTAGATAATAATTGGGTAAATTGATAATTTAAAAATATATACAATGTTTATTATACTGTATTTATAGATACTGTCTAATGTATATAATAAATTGTATAATAAAATATAAGTAAAAAACTGTAAAACAATGAAAAATCAAGTATCAAATGTCTTAATATTCTTTAATAACATTTATCGATATAATAAACACGTGTTATAAGAATATTAATAAATATTTTGAAATTTTAATTTTAATTAAATGTCTAAATTCTGGTCATTCATATCAGTCGTTTAGCAAATGCATCACTCAATTGGCATCAAATAAAAAAAGTAATTGCATTGACTTTAACATTGGATATCTTAATATTCATATCATAAATGTCGGCAAATATTGTTACTAAAGAGTCAGCAGCGGTAGTCAGTGATGGCGATCATCACATTCAAGACAAACCAAACGAGTCTGAATCGGAAGAAAACGAAAGCGATAGTTACTCTTCATATAGTTCGGTGTCCAGCGATGACAGCGGAGAGACAATGAATTCAGTGGATCTGATAATACAAACCAGTAGTAGTAGTGATTGTACCACTGATGACAACACTATTATTAACCATACAATGGACATCACAATCATTGATTTGGACCAATTGGTGCCCCCATTCCTCATTGGTCTCGCTCTAAGTTTCTTTATTTTCAAATTAGTATTTTAAATGTATAGTTAATTATTCAAACTTCTAACATATCATCAAAATTTTACAAAACATTTTGTCTAATTAAAAAAAATAATTATAATATATTAATATCTTATTTGAGAAGATTTTTATGTTATATTTTAAAAAGATTTTATCCCCAATCTTATCATATATTCTAACGTTTAAACATTAAAATATTAATTCATTTATTATTTAATAAATTTTTATTAACAAATATTATTATTTATTAAATACTATCAAAGTTAGAATTTATTTGTTTTTAATCTATTAATACTTAAAATTATTACTCGTTAAAAGTTTATAAAAATTCAAGCTTTTATTAAGTTTTAATCATTGGATAAAAAAATAAGTTCAATATTAATATTATTAATAGTCACATAAGCTTTTAACATTAATTTTCAAAACATTTACCATAAATAAAATAAAAATTAGACTTAAATTTCAATTTTGAGTCAAATTACTCCTTATATTAACTTTATATTGTATTATACACTATAATATTTGATACAATATATTAACAGAGAGTATAATTGAAAATAATAATAACTATTGAAATAAGTTTATCAACTCTAAGCAAACATTATACTGTATTAATAGCCATTGGTGTGTATGTAAGCCAATGGTGTGATACAAGTATACAAACTGTAAAAACCAATCAATTTGTTTGGATTTCAATTTGACTAATCGTTTGACACACAAATCCATTGATAATTACTTAGTTTTTGAATACAACACTACTGTCATTGAAAAGTAATATAATTCTTACACTAAATCTATATATCGATGATAGTGTTGTATTGAGTAACAAAAAAAACATTAATCGTATGATTTGTTTGATTGATTGACTCATTGAATGACTGATTGAATGACCATTTATTTCGTTCAGTTTTATTGAACTGAAAAACATACGAATCATACGATTTTATTAAACATATATTTACTTAAAGTTTAGTCTTATTTACAATTGATTTGAGATTTTATTTTATTTTTTTATTTTAATTATTTGTTATCAAATCCTAACGTAAATTATATATCATATTAAACAAAATGAACGGCCATTCGGACAATCGTTCGGTATTTGTAACTGATTTGCAGCCGACGGTCACCGAAACGATACTATTGAATACATTTGCCGTTTGCGGTGCCATCCGATCGGTACGCGTGTGTCGCGACTCTAGTGGCCAAAGCCTCGGCTATGGTTATGTCAATTTTCATTCGGCAGAGGCGGCCAAACAGGCCATCGATGAGATGAACTTTTGCGAAGTTAACGGCAAACCAATTCAAGTGATGGTCGTTCAGTCGACACAAGCGATGAGAAGCTCTTCAAATGCCAACGTCTTTGTCAAAAATTTGGACAAATCAGTGGATACTAAGCGATTGTACGAAACTTTCAGACCTTTTGGCGAAATTGTTTCGTCAAAATTGGCTCAAGAAGTGAGTGGTGTCAGCAAAGGATTTGGTTTTGTTCAGTTCAAGACCGAAGAGAATGCTATTATAGCCATCGTTGCCATGAATGGCAAGTATTTGAACGGAAAACAGTTGTTTTGTTCAAAATTTATGCCCAAAAGTGAGCGGTATAGACATTTGGCCGCTAAAAATACTAACGGTAACAGTTTAGCCGCTAATAATGGTCAACAAGAGTTGGTTAACATTTATGTCCGCAATCTTAGTCAAGAATTTACAGATGATTTGCTCGAAAAATTCTTCAAACGATTTGGTCGTGTCATTTGTGCCAAAGTCTTTCACAAACAGTTCATTTCATTTGGATTTGTCGTATTAGAGAACAGTGTTGTGGCCGACATTGCCATCAAAGAAATGAATGGAAAAACACTTCCCAATGGAAATCGTTTGTTTGTTAGTCGAGCCATCAAAATAACTAAGGAATCGACTCGAAAACCAACTGTTAAACAATGGATAAGAAGTAATGGTAAATGTTTTGATGGCCGAGACGTTTACGTGAAATATTTGGATAACTTGTTAACTGATCAGAGACTACAAGAAATGTTTTCGTCATTTGGCGAAATCAAAACCGTTAAAACAATGGGATCGGGCTATGGATTCGTATGCTTTTCATCACCAGAAGCCGCACAAAGAGCTATTCAAAACATTAACAATCATTATGTTTACAACAAAGCAATATTAGTTGAGAGTTTGGACACTAGAAATTCATTGCTGAAGATTAAATCATATCCAATAATGACCACTGGATTTGGCCGCAAATTGGCAAAGAATGGTATGTGAAGTGTATATATGAATATCTATTTTTGATATAACAATTTGGCGGTAAAATTATCGGTAAATCTATTAGAAATGAAAATGTTTGCATTTTTCTAACAATAATTGAAAATACACAATAGATTAATAATGATTGGGAAATATTTATAGAAAATTTTTTAATGCTTTGTCATTATATAAATTATTTAATAGACACTCGAGTTTTTTTATGTTATTAATATAATATTTGTTATTTTTAAAGTATTTTGTATTGATTTATTTTAATGCTAATAAAATAAAATTATTTAAAATTATCTCAAAAAACTTGCTTTAAATAAAGGTTACTACCGGTACTCAATTTTATAAATTATAAATGTTTTTTGTTAAGTATTTCAATAAATAATTTACCAATTTTTTCAAGTGGCATCAAATATATATATTTTTTATAAATGACAATATAATTATGTCAAATAATTTTAAAAATTAATAGCTGGATAATTATGAAAAATTTAAATAAATTTGAGTTTACACTATACATAAATTTATATACTGTACTGTACTCTAATGGTATACTTGTAATCAATACAATCAATTACCGGTAGTTAACACTACTGATACAACTAAATGCTTTTATTTGATGAACTTTAGATTTTTCCCCTTCAATAACTTTTAACTAACTAAATAGCATTATATAAATTATATTATCTTAATTTAAATGAATAATAGCTTTTAAGTAAATATTTTTCAAGTTTTTAAAATTTATTTGTATGAATATTTTCAATTTCAATTTCAATGGTTCAACAATTTTTGAATTGTTATACATTATCTGTCATTACCACTGAGGTATTATTTTACAATTTATTTAAAAATACAGTTAATATGTTAATATTGATTTGATTTTTTAATAAGTTTTACAAAATTATTATTTTTTAAAATAAGCATATTTGTCTATATATAAAAATTTCCATATTTTAAACAATGTATCACATAATAAAATGATAAAATAAAATGAATTATATAATTAATTCATTTAATTATTTAAATGAAAAGATGAGTAACTTATATGAAATGAATGATTAAATAAAACTATTGATGAGTTGATGATTGCAAACAAAGACTCAAACAATTAGGTCACGAATCGGAGTACAGATCAGTGTCTGATGTGATGACATGAAGGTTAGAGTCAGCAGAGAAGGAGTCGCCAAAGTGTCTTCTTTGACCTCTTTGTGGCACTTTTACTGATTTACTACGAATAGGAACGACAGGAGACTTGTATTTGTCAAGACTGGCGGCACCGAAGTTATCGTAGCCCTGAAAACCAAGCACCGGATTGCCGGTAAAAAAGTCCAAATTAAATGGTCTGAATTGGTCGGGATCGCGATCATCGTCACTATCGGGTTCCTCATTGGGAGTATAATGTGACATAACTGGATGCTCTGTTTTACGATGTTTTGTATTACCATTACTATCGGAGTTGTCACTATCAGTAACATGATTGACCACATTATTGGTTGCCGACTCTTCATCGCCATAAATACCACCTTTGATTATCTCGAAATTACCGGATCCGAGTAATCCGTAATTATGTTTACTGCTGCGACTTTCTTCACTAGTATACGACTCGTCGTTTATTTGATCACTACTTCGTGGATGACTTACAACTGATGGAAATTTACTTTCAATGTCATCAAAATTAAAGAATTCACTGTTTGATTCGTCATCATCTGAATCGCCATCAATATCGCTATCTTCTCTGTCATCGGACATAAAAGATCGGTCTCTGAACGGTATATATCGAGATTCGCCTGTTTTTGGCTCCTTTTCCGTTGAATCCATGTTTGACTGTTGAGAATGATTTTCATTCATTCGTTTTAATACAAAACTTCGTTCACTTTCTCTCTTTGATCTCAGTTTTGGACCAGAATTCGGAGTCATTGAATGTGAACTATCTTTGCCTGTCATGTCTGGCGATAGAAATCGTCTCATACTTAGAGGAATGTTTCCAATAGTTCCGTGAGCTGTTTGTAATCCGCTGACCACTGGCGCTGTTCCGTAATCTATTGTGTGATGAAAATCATCAGTCAGTCCTAAAAACCGAAGACTCGGTTCGAGAGCCGGCAAATCAAGTCTAACAGATCCGGCATTTTCTGGTGAAATATTTGGCATTTGGTCGCCGCGGAAGGGAAGTCGAGAAACAATTTTGACGGGAATTGCAATTTTCATGTCCGACTTCGGTTCGGAAGGTTTGCTTTGTACCGGTTTTGGCTTTGATTCGGATATCTCTTTGGGCGGATCGGCAAACACCGGCACCCGATGTTTTGATTCAATTTTGGCCACATTATTATTATTATGATTATTATTATTATGATTATTATTATTATGATTATTATTATTATTATTTTTACTATTAGTATTAAAATTTATATTATTATTACTATTAATTAAATTCTTATTATTATTTTGATTATTATTATTATTTGTTTTTATAGATATTTTCATTTTATTAGTATTAATATTATTTTTTGGTTCAATATTAATATTCACCGATGATTTTGGAATCACTTCTTCTTTTCTTTCGGTTTCTTCTTTAGTTTCATCCATTGCTGGCAACGATTCAAGCAAAAAGCCGGCGGCGTCTGCAGACAACTCAACATTTGAGTTAAAATCGTTGCTCACACCGAACGGCGGCGGAAAGCCGGGCAATCCGTCATGAGTTACACGAGACTTGTGTCGCGGCATCTGATCGACCGATTCGGAGGCCATTGCCGTATATTCATCTGCACCCGATTTGACCAAATCGTACTCCACATCGTAATCGGGATGAGATGTATCTTCCGATTTGTGTCGTTTGACATTTCTTGTCGAGCCATCCACTGATGATGACAATCCTTTTCTGTCTTTATTGGCCAAAGACGGCTCGTTAGTTGGTCTCAACGGTGAAACACTTGATTTATTTGTATTATTATCTGAATTATTATTATTTTCATTAAGCAATCGTCGCCTTTCTGTTAATAATAATTAAAAAAATCATTTTTCAATATAATATTACGTGTATTGCAATTGCTATTCACTCAAGTTTTTCAAATACAATATATTTAATTATATAGAAAATTATGTATTTATAAAATATAATAATAATTATAATTAAAAATACAATAGTTTGTAATAATAGCGTAATAGTAGCATAAATACGACAATTTTTCAAAAATCAATTTAAAAACATTTTTGTAATAATAATAATAATAACTTATGAGAAAATAACTGTAGATTTCCGCTGTCAGATATATGCTATTATACGATAGTGAAGGATAATAAATTTATTAAAACATTAGTTAATTGAAAAAATATATAATAAAAATTAAGCAATTGTTGTCTAAAATAATATATTTAAATATTAAAAATTTCAATGAACTCACTCGTGTATTAAATGTAATTTTAATTTGGCGTTTGGTGTTATAAATCTTTATAATATTGTTATCTATAATTTTGTTTCGTTAGATTTTTAATCAGGCAACAAAATTGTTTTAAATTATTGTCTAATTTATCATACTATATGTCTATATAAATAAAAATATAAAATATGTTATTTAAATTTTGTAATTTTGTTGACTGATAAAAGAATTTTATTTTTTGTAATAGTCTAACTAACTATATTTATTTTTTTTTTAAATTAAATAAAATCAATTATAATTATAATTATTCAAAAAAATGCTTTAAATAACAATACATTAAATAATAAATGACTTTTAGTTGGTTTTTAAATAAACTTCAGATTTATTTTAACTACAGATTTACAGACAGAGTTGAATGCTATGAACTATCAAAAGTGTTAATGTATTAAAATTGTATTAGTATTTAACGGTTCATTAATTAAATATAACACCAGTAATCTTAAAATAAAACCCAATATTATGTAATAAATATATATTATTAAAGTCATTTAACCAAATCAATTATGTAATTGAATTTATTTTAATGTTTTTTTGGCTTTTTAAAATATATAAATAATTTAAACAAAAATAGTATCTAAACTTGTTAATTTTATATATTAAGTAATCTATTTGATATATATATATATATATAGTATATATTATATACTGTATATCGTTGTAATAATTGTATTAGAATAAATATAATAATTTTAATTAACTTTAACTTTAAATTTAAATTTTTTAAATTTTATTTATATACTCTACATATAAATTATTAAAATATCTTAATGAATTAATTAAAATAAAATTTAATTTAAATTGATTGCATATACTGTATTAAATTATTAATAATATCAAAATGTCTTCACTAAAAAAACAATTATTTATTTATTTAACAAATATCTGAGCTTCAAATTTCAAAACTATATAATTAATATAATACAATAAAAATGTCACCTATATATACAATAATAATTAGTTCACAATCTTATTATACTATTTTTATTGCAAATTAGTTTATATTAATACACTGTACAGACAGTAAATTTAGTAAAACTAATTTTTAATTTGAAATTTTTTGCTAAATGTAAAAATGTGACTTTTTGAATGAATACTAATAATAATGTATTTTTGTCTATTTATTAATAATATAAAATATAAATCTTAATAATCCATTTTACATATAATATACTATAAAAAAATTTACGTACTACTTAATAAAAATAAAAATATATTTTTTAATGATTTAATTTAATAATTAAAAAATACCATATAATAATATTTATTAAGTAAATGATACATTTAAATGCATTGATTAAATCTTATTATTTTTAGTTTGCATAATTTTAGTTTTTAAAAATTACAATATAAATAATATTATAAATTATTATGTATAAAAAATACAGCTATATTAATAATAGAAACATTTCAATTGATTTATATTTTATTTATTATAATATACTGTATATTTTAATACAGAAGATGTTTATAAAAAAGCAAAACAAAAAAACCGGTTGACTTAACAAATGATTACCTTTTTGTATATATATATATATACAGATATTAATACCGATTCACACGCTCTCAATACACTAGTATTAATACAAAGCTTTAAATTACAGTTAAAATTTCTATATTACTCATATATATAACATATATATATATAACACTTTTGTTGTTACTAATAACAGTAATACAGTAATACTATAATAATATAATGTTCTCATATATTCAATACACAATAAGAAATACTAATTAATCTGAATAATCATAATAATGATTGTAATAATAAATTGATAAATAAATTATGTAATTGTGCTAAAA